TGGTGGCTGATGCGGGGAACCTGGGGGCAGATCGGCTCCAATGGTCCAGCTGCCCAGAGCACTTCCGGGTTCCTGATGGTGCCGGACCATCAGGAGTACCGGACCATCAGATGCCGGACCATTGGAGTTTTACTGTATTTACCCAATTTCCACCATATGACAGCACTTTTAATGAGCAATGACAGTCCAGGAATTTAACTGCTAAGACACATATCAACAGAAGACCGTTCTATTGACTCGCCATTGTGGAGTGTGTTCCTAGTGGAGGCCATGTTCAAAGGATCCCACCTGCAGGCCATGTGTTGAGCCCTGCATAAACACAAACTACACCACGGGCTGCAAACAAATGGGCTGCAGGCCGCATGTTGAGTAGCCCTGCTCTACAGTGACTGCCGTGCCAAAGGTCCTGCCCTTCCTTCACAAATGCTGCTCTGCTAATGTCCCTGACCCTGTGGGCAAGGAAACTTGTTCCCACTCCTCTCCCTCTGATCAGCACACCAGTCCCAGCTGCTCAGGTTAACTGCATACTAAAGGAAGAACTAGGAGTTAATCAGAGGAAAAGCAGTGAGGCAGACAGGGCTTTATGGGAGCACTAAGCACAGTTCCTACATGTTACCCATGGGATTACACAGGAAGGAGGACTAGGAATAAGAGATTGTGTCCACTAATTAGGCTGAATGGGGCACATATGTTTGCTTATCTATATTAATTGTGGCTCACTTTTGAAACTGATGAGAGAAAGCAGATATTTCAATTAAAAAAAAAAAATCTTACCTTGTCCTGGTAAATCATCCCTTCCAAATATAAAGAGATTGTATCCACACTGTCTCTCTAACACCTCAGGTAATATCTTTAGTGCAAAGATATCTGGTGAGTAAAGGCAGCTTACTCTGTTTTTTGGATATAACACATATGCATCGTAGATCTTCCCATCTGAAACTAAAAGTGAGGGAAATGATTAAGATAAAAAAGCACATTCAGTAAGAAAGGTAAACTATTGTTTTCCAAATCCTTTTAATTAAAGTTACTGTAGTGTGAATAAATTATACTTATGGAAGTAATATTTTATATGTACAGACCTTTGGACTTTACTATGCGAAAACGTAAAATTGATTACTTTTGAGTGGTCTTTGCTCTATACTATACAATAATAAAAAAAGCAATATCACCAAGCTTTCTGGTTCAAGTAAAGCATATTATTTTAAGTTCCAAGTTACCCAAAATTGTTATTTACTGCTTATGTCCTAAAGTTAAAAAAATGTAAAAATCCAATATTCAAAAAGATCAGGAGTGTTATGATGTATATGGAACTTTCCAATAAAACTTTGATTTAATAAACTTCAGTAAGCACCATTAACTACCTCAGTGCAATTATTAAATACATTGTACCACTAAAGAAGTACATTTCTCTAAAATCCTCATGGTTGACCTTAATTCCAGTATTCTGCTCTCTTTGCATAGTGCTCCCATTGCTAATGCAATTCCAGGAACACAGAGAGAGCAGAGTATCAGACCAAAATAGGATCTGAGAGAAATTGTTTTTAAAAGCAAGATACATGGGATTTGCTCTTATGCACTTAAAAAAAAAAGAAGGAATGTTCTTATGATTTATTACGACTCTTTTAAATAGTAATTAAAGGGAGGGTAGCTATGGCTCCTCAACCATTTAAAAACCCACCAGCAAACTCCTTGGTGCAGACATTATCCTCGCATTAAGGGATAACTAAAGAAGGCATATTACAAGTGGAGAATACTTCAGTCAGCCATTTTAAGGCAAACAGCAATACCGTACATTAAATAGCCAGCACCCTGCTACCAAATATACAAGCTCACTGCCATTTTAGAAATCTGAAGCATTCTCCACAGTCTAAAGCAGAAAATATGCAAATAGTTTTCATCATACAGCTCAAAAATGTAATGCCACCCACTTTGGGGGAACTCCAAATGGGATTGCTCACACTCCAGGATCATTTCTGAATGCTTTTCCGATTAGAGAGATTGAAAATACTGTAATCTTGTCAGAAGAAAAACACTTACCTTCTTTACTCAGAAAATGATGGCAGTAGTTCCGATACCAAAGCACAATGTCAATCTTGAATAGCTTGTAGACAAACACAGCAACAACTATTACAAATACCAGTGAAACAAGTCCTCCAATCAGGTAACCCTGAGTGTTTGGAGCTGCATTAACAAGGGAGGAAAAAAGATACAATGGAACTGCAGCATGTGTCATACAGGAAACATTGAAAATATTTTGTACAATCCAACAACCCGATCTTTTAAAACCAACTATTTGTGTTAGGATTCAAACATGCTAACAACAAATAAGAGAAGACTAAAGATTCTCCCTGTATGGTTTCAACATAAAACTGCCAGTGTAACCACCACCAGGCGGATTTGAACCTGGGACCGCTGAAGCTTAGTATAGGAGCCTCTGCCCTTTGCGTTAAAAGTCAACTGCCTCTTGGCCCATGATGTAGAGGTCTCTTAGTCTTAGCTGTTGCTGTGGTCTAGGTGCTACTGCATGGGACAGTGAACCACACTAGGTGCATGGGTTATACAAGCACACCAGTAAACCCAGAATGCATGCCATTGTGTCTCACTGGAGGCCATACTCAGTCAAAAATGTTACCACACAAATGCAAAGAGATCCTATTCTCCAACCAGAAAAGAAATGCCGATATTTACTCTGACACAAACAGCTGACTCAGAATTCTCATATAAATTTGACTTGGGACTTGTCTACACAAATATTCGATTTGCTGCCACCTGGGATGTGAATCTACTCCACACTATCTTACTGCAAATTAACTGAGTAGTTCCATTTCAAAGGGTATGTCTACACTTGCAGCCTAATTCGAACTAGGGCTGCAAATGTAGGCATTCGGAATTGCAAATCAAGCCCAGGATTTAAATATCCGGCGCTTGATTTGCATCTTCCCGGCCAGGTGACATTTTTTGAAATTTACAAGCCCGGAATAACTGCCCGCATCTACACGCTGCAATGAAATGGGCGTTTGAAATAAAGCCCTAGTTCGAACTACCTATTATTCCTCTTGCAATGAGGTTTAACAGGTAGTTCAAACTAGGGCTTTATTTCAAATGCGTGTAGACACGGGTAGTTACTTTGGGCTTGTAAATTTCAAAAATGGCACCCAGCCGGGAAGATGCAAATCAAGCACAGGATATTTAAAACCTGGGCTTGATTTGCAATTCCGAATGCCTACATTTGCAGCCCTAGTTCGAATTAGGCTGCAAGTGTAGACATACCCAAAGAGAACTCTCTGAATGCCTATCAAACTGTGACTGTGCATCAGCAGAGTGCACATGGACAGTTAATCCACGGCATGCAAGTGCAAGGTAGATTCACAGCCCAACTTGCTACAAACTGTACCTTTGAGTAGACAAGCTCTTATTGTTAAAAAGTGGCACTCTTATTTGTGGAAAAAGTAAGTAGTAAGACAACCCCACAAGAGGACAAAGGAAGGTTAACATATAAAAGTGTTCTATTATTATATCATATACTCTCTGGAGCAGGAACAGGTTCTTTACTAAATGCCTATATAATGTCTAGCACACTGGGTGCCCAATGTGGTAGAGGTTTCTAAGTGCTAATGTTCTATAAGCAGGAACAACTGGAAGACTCCGAATGACTAAAATAGGAGTTGTGAGCACTCAGCCCTTCTGAAAATAAGCCATGTTTATTTAAGTGACTAAATATGATTTTAAAGAACACAACCTTAGGCACCCAAACTTTGATATTTTGGGATATTAACAGAATGAGACCAGCCACAAGTATAATTTTGTAATATGAACTATATTGTAGAAAGTCTCAGAGAGGTAGCCATGTTATTCTGCGTCTTTAAAAACAACGAGTAGTCCTGTGGCCCCTTAGAGCAGAACTACTCAACATGTGGCCTGCAGGCCACATGTGGCCCACAACCTGTTTGTTTGCAGCCCACGGTGCAGTTTGGGTTTACACGGGGCTCAACACATGGCCCATGGGTAGGATCCTTTGAACATGGCTTCCACTGGGAACATGCTTCACAATGGCAAGATGTCTCCCAGGCAGGATGAGCACTGAAAGATGCAAGTGAATGGGCTGGCTGGAGCAGAAGGGTACAGGGTGTTGGCGTTTCTAGCCCCTGGGGAGGAGGTGCCAGGAGCACTGGGGCATTGTGGGATGTGCTTTATATTCATGCTTGTCAGTGTGAAAGAAGCTATTTGCATACATTTGCATCTCCTTTTGCATATATATGCAACTACACTTAAGTTGCAACCCTCAGCATGTGCTGTGAATACCATTGTGGCCCCCGGGGCTTCCAAAGTTGAGTAGCCCTACCTTAGAGACTAACAATATATATTTTGTTAGTCTCTAAGGTGCCACAGGACTACTCGTTGTGTTTACATGTAATGTGCCACTTTACTATAGTCTGCTCTCTATGGTTGCATTAATAGAGAATTAAGATTCACAGCCTGACAAAGTCCCAAAGAGATTCAATATCTCTGTAGGCTCCATTCTCATGAATGAAGTTGCATCCACTGTGGAATGCAAGTTTGTCCTCTTGTAATCACACTGTTTTGGGCTTTGCCTCAAAGTATTAAATCTTACAGGCTTCTCCACTCCGGTAATCATTTATGAACTCTAGCTCCCTCTTCTTCTCTCTCTAGCTACTCTCATTTATGGCACACTAAGCTACTGGTTGTCATTACAGTAAATTAGCAAGAGACAGAAGACTATGCTACTCTAGGACTCTCCTTTTCAACAGTTACATAGCATCTATCTTCCAAACATCAGCCAATTAATCCTCAATGCTTCTCTGTCTGTTAAATAAGATTTTAAGATTAAAATAACCTCCAAAATAGATTTATCTGGATTAACAAAGTTTAAATGTAAGCCACTATTTATTGATCTTGTAGTAAAAACTGGTGGAACTATCAAGGTATAAACCTTTCAATAGGCAGTAGTTTTGATTTCAATATCTTTTTACTTCTCAGATGAGTTCTGACAATTCTATTCTAAAGTAGACTGGCCTCAAATTCTGCTTAAATAAGCTTGAGAGACTTTATTTGAACTTTTATTTATTATATAAAAGTTACCTGAGCTCCCATATTTGCACATTTGTACTCATTTCAGTTTTTCAACTTTGAAAACTAGATGTGAAATGTTGAATTTGCCAGCACATAACCGCTTATGTGCTGAGTCATAGTGAATTTGGCAGTAGCGACTTTTTAAAGTTTCACATCACATATTTTACATTTTGCTTTGTTAATCTACCCTCTGGGACCAAAGTCAAAGCGTACAACATGATGAGTGGAATGTGCATGGAATGCCTGCCAATCTGTTATGGATTGATGAGAGCTGAAGAAATCAAAGAAGCAGCAGCCACCACATCTATTCTCTCATTCTTCTCTACATCTCCACAAAAGGGTAGAGACACTGGGGCTATGTCTACACTGGCGTGATCTTGCGCCAGAGCTATGCAAATGAGGCTAAGCATGGACTATTGCCGAGTCTCATTTGCATATCTAATGAATTTTTGCGGAAGAAGCTCTTGCGCCAGAAGGAGCTGTCTACACTGCCCCTTCTTGCGCAAGAAAATCTCTCTTGCGCAATGCCGTTACACTGATTATTTTCAGGAATAATGGCATTGCGCAAAAGGTTTTTCTTGCGCAAGAAGGGGCAGTGTAGACAGCTCCTTCTGGCGCAAGAGCCTCTTCTGCAAAAATGGTGGCTCATTAGATATGCAAATGAGGCTCGGTGATATTCCATGCTTAGCCTCATTTGCATATCTCTGGCGCAAGATTGCGCCAGTGTAGACATAGCCTAAAGTTGCGAAGTTACTTCAGAAGTGAAGCAGTAGCCACACAATTTGTGCCCAAATGGTCTTTTCTAGTTCTTCACCTTCAATTAGTGACAGGCGAACAGAAACGTTATTGATATGACTAACTGGTGTACTGAAGAAGGTTTTAATTGAGACAATACTTTTTTAAAGGGGAAGTGGAGAATTTGAAAGAAGCTACTCAGGAAGAGGGAAAATGTTTTAAATAAATATAAGAATTTTGGAGTACGTGCAACAAGGGCAGTTACAACTTAAGAGGGAGGAAGACAGCAAGAGTGCTAATTTGTAAGTATTGTCGTAATTTTACCATGCTTGTAATAAGCTAATTATGAGTTTACTTCAATGTATTTTTTACTGAAAAGTATTTAATTGATATTTTCTGAAAGACTATAGCATATTAAAATTTGGTAATAGCTACCAAAGTAGTTTGGTAAAAACTACTTTAATAACTGTAAGTATACAATTGTAACATCCGTGTCATGTTCTATTTAACGCAGAGCTGCTGTAGCCAGTTATGATTGATACCAGCTGAATCTTTGTTACACTGTTCCCTTTTTATTAACTTTTCATTTCATAATCATGTTAGAATTGTAATGATAACATTTTATACCTTACCTGGGTATTTTAGCACAACATATGCTCCAGCTTCACCATAGGGATGCAAAACATGACACACAAACTTGTGAAAGTAATCCTTCCTTTTCACTTTTGAAATGTTGAATCTTGTTCCAATTATGAAACCACTTCCCTGGGAAGATTTTCTGCAATCACAAAAAAGCAAACACCAGTAGATAGGTAAATTAATATACATTAGAATTTCAATATGAACTAGGCAGACAAGCCTACACACAAACACTTGTGCATACACACATACAAGAAAGTTCACTGTTACCTTCAAGGAGGGTATTAAACATGTTCAGGTCACTTGTGAGCAAATATAGATATTAGAATTCAGGGATTTATAGTACAAAGCATACTGTTAGCAAAAACAATGTACCAGGATTAAAACTACACAGCCCAAACCATGACATTACATAGGTTGAATTACTGTCCACGTTAGAACATTTAATTGCTGAAGGAATTGCTATTGTGTACTGTCTCACCATATTTTCAGTTCTGATACTGCTGCTGGCCATTTTAAAAATAGCTACTTTCCATACCAACTGTGATTTAGTTAAAACTGATTTAGCTGACAGCTACTATGGCTTTATGATATACATTTTAGAGGAGGAGAGCTTGCAAACTGATGTAGTGGTACTGGCATCCTATAAGAGTTACATATCTTACACTGACTGTGAGTCTTTGAGATGTTGTGTCCATATGGATTCTTTAGATCAGCAGTGTCCACTGGGGCCATTTCTATCCTCTAAATTTCCTCTCAACTCTCTCATCCAAGAGCATAAAGTGCAGAGTAGGCCCAACCATCCCTCAGTGCCTTCATCAATACAGAATCCTAGAGGAGTAGGACTCCATAATGGGGAAGGAGGGCAGGTCATGGAATCCTTGTGGACAAAACATCTTGAACCACAGTACCATAAGAAAATAACCACTCATTTCTACCATACTGTGGGTGCTAAGAGCCCCAGTTAAAAGATTATAGGACAGTTTACCAAAGTGACATCCAATCTAGAAGCCTCTTACAAGACACAGCTTTGGTAAAGCATGTACCAAACTATATGTAGCTGCCCTAAGTCTGTTTCTGAAATAGACTGAGTTCTTATGGAATGAGCTCAGCCTAGGTGGCTGTAACCTAGATAGGCTAACTCATAACGTGATCTTGCATTGCAGAAATCCATTTTGATAATGTCTGTGAGGATACTGCCTGACCCCTGAGCATATCCACAAGGCCACAAACCGTCTCAGTGATCCTCAATAGTTTTTTCTTGTTCAGATAATATAGTAAACTTCCGATAATCCAGCACCTTTAGGACCCAGGGGGTGCCGGATTATCGGCTATGCCAGACTATCGGAAGGGGGATTATGAGGGGGCTGGGGGGGGGGGGGGGGGGGGGG